AGGTATTATATGAACTGATTGGTCAAAAGTGGCTCAAATACCGGTTTTGGTAATTTCACGGATAACAGCCCGAAATGAATTTCGGGGGTTTATAAATTAATGTTGGGGAATGTATATTTATTATAAGGGTCATGATGATTGAGAACGCATAATATATTTTATTTGACCCGATAAAATAAAATATATTTAAAACAGTCCGAAAAATACAACTTTCGGGACCGATTGTACACATTGGGACACAAAGGGATGACCTCCCACATGAGTTGGGGCCACCCCACGTTTTTGTGTGCTAGAGTAGACAAGGGAGAGATGGGTTGACAAGAGAATGAGTGGAGGAGGTGCAAAGGGACCCTTTGACCTCACTCATTTGCCAAATGAGACAAAGAGGAACCCCTACCCCCCTTTCCCTTGCATTATTCGGCCAAACCATCAAGTGAGGAGGAAGAGAAAGCCCTCAAGCCATACTCCATTGCTGCTGCACGAGCTCAAGAAGGGGTAGTCCAAAGAAGGTGGTTTAAGAAGGAAAAAGCTAGGAAAAAGTGAGAAAAGTTGAGGTAATGGCCTTATCATAACTTTTCCTTTATTTTTCTTCTACTATATGAGATATATATCATATGAAGGACCCTTAGGATTGTTCTACATGTTATGAGTGTGGAATAATGGGTTGGAAGTTGGTTCTATGTCCAAAAACGGACTTAGAAGCCAAACCGACAAGTTCACCGGAAAATGACCTTTTAGAGGTTATTTGTATTGATTAAGGGTTTATGATGTTAAAACCTTGTTAGGAACTTGATTAAAGTATTTTTTAGCTTCGCCGGAGTTTCGCCGGAGTTGGTCAAAGTTCGCCGGAATTGGTCAAAGTTCACCGGAATTAGTCAAAGTTCAATCGGGGAGCGTAGAACGCGCTTAAGCTCACTTAAGGTGAGGATGACCGACTATATTGCTTATAATTATTGGGTTAATTTCATGAGATTACCTAAATGAATTAAATGTGTTTGGCATGGTTTATAAATGATAAAAAGTGCCTAAATGAAATTAATATTGTTTGTAAGTGAAAATGCATAATATACAAATTTATGAATAAATTGTGTATGATTATGTGTTATGAATAAAATGGCATGATAGTTGTATTAACCATGAATGTTCATTGTGATAAATATACTTTTACCTCATGTAAAGAAGTCATGGAAGGATAAAAGTGATATTTTGATATTAGAGCCAAACTATACTTGAATGTGGAATTAAATTGAAATATACGAACTATTATGAATTTGCATTGGTTATATTAAGATTAAACGACTAGTATAGAAATACTAGTCGGAAATGTTAGTTCAATAGTTCTTGGGAGCTAATCCCAAGATATTGGAGTTAAGTAACCTTAAAGGATATTTTTTTTAAGGTGAACTTTATGAACCCAAGTTACATTAGGAGTAAGCCTTAAGGGTTACTCAAATGGATGGAGCCTAGACTAAGAAATTGTTTAGGATTAGATGACGTGACTATGAGCCGAGCTCTAGCACGTGGTAGTATGACTATGAGCCGAGCTCTAGCAAAATGTAGTGTGACTATGAGTCGAGCTCTAGCAAAATGTAGTGTGACTATGAGCCGAGCTCTAGCACAAATTAGTATGACTATGAGGCGAGCTCTAGCAAAATGTAGTGTGACTATGAGTCGAGCTCTAGCAAAATGTAGTGTGACTATGAGCCGAGCTCTAGCACAAATTAGTATGACTATGAGGCGAGCTCTAGCATGAAGGAACGTGAGTTGATTATAAAACAATAACATCCTAGATTGAGGGTCTTGGAAATTGAAACTTTGATTATACTTAGTATAGTTGTCATTGTACTTGTCAAATGCTTCCAAGTACTGACCTCCCCTTCACAGGGGAGGCCACCTCACAGTTTCAGGTAGAACTTGAAGGTTGCTACCATCGCCATTGCTTTCGGGAAGTTCCAAGGAGAGGAGACGTGGTTCGTGTTTCCTCCGTTTCCATTTTTACAAACCATTTAATTAATGCTCATGGATATTATTTTTAAATATTTATTTGGGTGCTTGTATGCCCATGTTTGCCAAGGTGTGGCATGAACACTTGTATTGAATGTTTCCGCTGCTTTGAATGAATATTTTTACATTATGTTTGTTTACGGATGTACTATTGTGAATGATATTACAGACGCCTTGTATAGTATGGATGTGTTGGACTGTGGTTGACTATTCGTACTGTACGGCGGATTATTGACGTGTCCGGATAGGTCCGGGGCGTGACACAACATATACTGAGGCCCTGGAGAGGGTTAAGAGATACCCCAGTGCTGAAGACGCGAAGAAGGAACAAAGAAAGGAAGACAAATAAACCAGGCCTAAAGTTAAGCAAGAAGACACATGTCCGCAATCTCTAGAGACTTTGGACAGACCGCCTCACACCAAATAAGTCATAAAATAGACACGATCTAGCGCTCGATGCATTAATTTAGACAATTGCTTAAAGTATTTAGGAATGTAAGAAGGCGCTTGTCGCACTCTCTTGAGGCTCCAAACGGAGCGTATCACACAAAATAACTCAGAAAATAGACCAAGTCTAGCGTTCAGCGTATTAACTCTGAAAATGTTTAAACTTTAAAGTATTTGGGAATGCATGAAGACGTCATTCCACACTTCCTTGAAGCTTCGGACAAATAAAGCATACCAAAGAAATAACTCAAAGAATAGTCTGAACCTAGAGTTTGGCTTATTCAACTCAAAATATTTGCTTAAAGTTTTTTAGATATCCAAGAAGGCATTTGTTTGCCCTCTCTTGAGACGCTGCACAGAATGTAATCCGAAAATTACTCATAAAATTAGAGATAACATAGCATTTATCAACCAATAGCAAATAAAGCAACCCTCTCAAATTAGGAAGACACATTTCCACACTCTCTTGATACGCCAAACAATGTGAACTCTGAAGATTTCTCCGGAAATGGACTGAACCTATACTCGCATTCAACCAACAAAGGAGTGGAAAACTACGAGCAATATCTAGGAGACAAAGAAGTGGAACCTATCTCTGTGCATTTTATAACTATGAAAGTCTGGTCTGATTTCTTTAAGTCTAGTGTGGGTATGAAAATAGTCCAAAAGAAAACTTCATAACGCCAAGAGTTAGGAGAAGGGAAACCGGGAGATAATAATAAACTCCCTTGCATCATACTTTGAAAAAAAAAAGAAGTGAACATTAAGAAGCAAGGAATGTAGGAAGACACAAGACTTCAGCTTTAACAAGTAACAATCCATCCAAACTCTATCCTTACCAAGTTGGAGGATTAGATCAAGGCGGCCAACTCTCACACAGTTCCCAAAAATCTCCGAAAGAACACATGCTAAAGGCGAAGTAGTACGAAGCCTAGACATTGCCAACAATCTCCGAACTCCTATTCTTAATCAAATTTCTCAGTACTACACACACACATATATTTCTTGATGCTAGAAACTTCAAAAATTTTAAATACTTGTTCTAATTTTGTCTTGTGAGCACAACTTTTGCAGGTCATTATTATTCATAGATTCATAGTATTTCAAATTAAAGAGGATTTTTTTTGGCAAGGACCAATGTTTAGAAGATGAAAGCTGCTCAACTCATCCAAGGTGCTTAAGACTCGATAAGGGTGCTGCTTAGCTCAAGGTGTTTAAGACTAGACAAGTTTTCTGCTTCACCAATTTCAATGCCTCAAACATTAAAGGTCATTCGAACCTCGGTCTCGACCTCAATGTTAAACAACTCACATTTAGCTAGGAGGAGATTTCGTTCAAAGTAAAGAAACTTAAAGGTATTCTCGTTGATCATGCGAAGGAGAGATAGCAAACAACTACTTCAATAGACTGATAACTTCGTCACACTTCATGAAGTGTGAGACTAAGCTAATTGATGGATGATTATTGAAATCACACTGACTATTTCCAAGGCTTCAGGCATATACTGATATACAAGGCCGGCCGAGTATAGACCTCGCCTCGATACCTTAGAGAAGATCGAACTCAGCTTTGGATCAGATATCTTCAATAGACACCATGAATGAATCATTAACACACAACATATTAATATTTATGGCCGTGCTTAATTCATAACATTACGTGAAAAATAGCCCAAGAAATTGTAATAACTAGCGTAGTAGCGTACTTGTGTTTGAATACTCTGTATTTATTAGTGGACCTGCTCATCTATCAAATGCCATCATTGTTTTTAAATTTAGCTTCAATGTAACGATATTTTATGAAGCATCTTTCAAATTTACATGGAAAAATCCGTTTCTACAACCTTGGCTGTAAACTATATGCACGTATTTTTTCATGTTTACACCGACAATTGTCTTGAACATATGAATAAAAAATATACTCAGTATATAGTACTACATACAAATTGGGTACACCAAAAGTGTACTAGACGTCTCAACGACGTTGTAAAATATCAAGACTTATTATATGCACGATTTTAACAACATTGATTATCTATGAATTTAAAACATTTGGTTATTTTTCATTACCAAAAAGTCTCATTCGAATATTTGAAATGAAATGAATTTAGTACTCCCTCTGTCCCTATTATATCTTCCAAATAGGTTTGGCGCGGAGTTTAAGATAGTGAATATTGTGTGGCGGAAAGTTGTGCAGAGGAGAGAGAAATGTGTAAGAATTGTTGTGAACCACAAATTCTGGCCAAAAAAGGAAAGTGAAAGTTTTAATTGGGACGGACGAAAAAGGAAAGTTGGAAGTTTATTTAGGGACGGAGGGAGTATGTTCTAAAACAGACGTAACTAACAATAAGTCTATATTCTTATTATAATACTCCTAGTAAGCAATGTAGTCTCCTTTTTCCTCATTCTCGTCATTATTCTCAAAGGTTGTTCTTTGGTGTCCCCTAATAATAATCAAAACGTGACCTTCCAATTTGGATTTATTCAACCAAGGCCTTCTTTGGCTTATCCTAAAGTTCCTTCTAAATAATTAAGTCACGACCATACACATTACTTTCAAAATAACGTTGAAATAAATAACGACTTTTGAAAAATCCCGATTAAATAAAATACGGAGTGTAAAATAACCTTGTCTAAAACCGGTCTCATTTCCTTTATATTTACATAATTTTGTTTTTGAAACTAATCTAAGCATAAAAAAGTTATACAATGCCTTTAGAATAAATCAAACGGCGGCGGTTGTTGCTTACTTCCCCGGACTGACGACATCGTTTTGCTCCGCCTAAATCGCGGCCCAGACGGCGGCGCCACCGATCTTATAAGCGCGAAATTCAACCCCTTGAAAAACGGGTGGGTCTTGACCTCCGCCGCCCCGCGCTTCGACCCGAGCCGCTTCTTCGGATCCTTGTTCAACAGCCCCGATATCAGATCCCGCGCGTGCACTTCACTCACGCTCGACGGCGATTCGTTGGGGAAAGCCAAGGGTTTTTTCACGATGCTCCGCAGCGTACTCTCGTTCGACGCGCCGGCGAACGGTGTCCGTCCGTAGATCATCTCGTAGATGAATATCCCGAGGGCCCACCAGTCAACGGCATTCCCGTGGGACACGCCGGACGCCACCTCAGGCGCCACGTACTCGTGGGTCCCGACGAAGGAGCACGACCGGGCGGCGACCGGCTCCGCCACGAAAAGCAGGCCGTTGGAGACCGTCTGAACCTTCTTCGACCGGAAAAACCTGCCGGAAATGCAAGAAAACGGAGAGGGTATACGAGGAGCCGGAGAGGCAACTGAAAACTCCGGCGACTCGACGGCGGCCACCGTGTCAGAGCAGAGAGACAGGTCAAAGTCGGTCAACATAATGTGGCCGTCTGACCGGACCAAAACATTCTCCGGCTTAAGGTCTCTGTATATGATTCCCAACATGTGGAGATATTCTAGCGCCACCAAAACCTCAGCTGCATAAAACCTGAGGAACAAAATGGTAAAATCCTCAAACTCATTAGTTTTGGGACTTTAAATCAAATTGCACAAAAATGGTAAAATCCCATTGTTGAGATTTGAAAGGTGAACAAAACAAGGCAAAATCTTAGAAAAGGTCAAACTTTAATCTTTATTATTACCCAAATAATTAACAGGAAATTTAGGTCCCAAAATGGTCTGCCTAGATAATAGGTTGATAGAAAACCTCTCACGAAATACTCTGTTTGGCATACTAAAAAGTGTACTAACCTGGCAGAGGCGAGAGAGAACCGGTGATGGGGCTGTTTGTGGCGGAGAGAGTGCAAATCGCCGCCGGAACAGTACTCCATGACCACACAGGAGAAATTCGAGGCCTGAAATTCAGCGTAGAGATGGGGCAGGAAAGGGTGGTCCAACATCCTTAAAATCTTCCTCTCCGTCTCCGCCCTCTCAATCTTCTTCTTCAGAGCCAACACCTGGCTATCCACCACCTTCATGGCGTAAACCTGCTCTTCCCCGCCGCCGCGGGGGCGGCAGAGGTACACCCTGCCGATATCCCCACACCCAATTTGGCGGACCAAGCTGAAGTCTTTTGCGGTCAAGCCGCCGGAGCTCAGGGGCTTCAGAGGCGGGGGGTTCTGCTCCGGCGAGCTGGTGGGAAGCTCAAAAGACAGGCGGCTGGTGCTGGTACGGTCGCTGCTGCTCATGGAACTTTTCCTGGGCGTCACACTCTGGGAATATCCATTGACGTGATCAGGCATGTTGGTGAGCGCATAACAATGGATTTCCCAACCTTTTGTCTGTTTTTCCTTTTCGTGAAGAATCCTCAGATGCTGAAAGTACAGGGGTTGAAAAAAAAGTGTGAACAGAGAAGGCAACGTTGTCTCGAATTCAAGGAAAGGGAAAGCAGTGGATATAACAGAGGCGAGAAACAGGGGACTGGAATTGTGTGGACCAGAGAAATTAGTGAGAGGAAGAAAGATGGAAGTAAAACTGATACTCCCAGAAGTATTATTGTACTTGCTGGTTTAATTGTAGTGTGGAGAGAGAGCTATGGTGGTTTTATTGTTAAGTCGCTGTTTGGAAGAGTTGGTGGGATGGTATAGAGGTGTGCAGGCTGGACCGGAAGCAGAAGAACGCGAGGTCGTTAGGGCTATTTATGCTTCAGTACGAATGTATGTATTGTTATTCAAATTTAATAATCAGGTTAAACGAGTTGAGTGATTCAAATTTTCTAAATTTATATCTCCCAAAAAATATAAATCTCCCCCCAAAAAATCTAAATTTATATGTTTAAACATGATCTAATTTGACGATTTGATCTGTGTTGATTGATAACGCGGGTGTTTGGAAAATGACGTTTAATCAAGAGATCGCGGTCTGACTCTTGGCGTTTTCACTTTTCAATAAGTGAAAACGTTGTTTGCGAAACAGCTGATCGGCCGTAACGTTTTTGAACGGACTCGTTGAAATGGAGACGCTGCAAATAGGAGTGTTCAAGGTTAACATTTAGAAATTTGGCATTTTCTACTAGTCGTTGTGCCCAAAGAGTTAAATTATCAAACATTTCGCAACTCGTCAACTTATTTCGCTAGTCAAACTCGTTAAGTGAATTTGCTATTAGCAACATGCTAACATAGGGAGTGTTTGGATCTACTTCTGAAAACTACTTCTACTCCTTAGTAGAACAAAAACAAATATTGGAGTGTTGAACACTTGAGTGAAAGTGCAAAAGTACTTTTGAATGTTTTGAATTACTCTTAGAAGCAATTTTTAAGAAGTTGAAGGAGGTCAGTTTCTGAAAAACTGATTCTGAGTCTACTTCTACTTTTAAAAAAGAAGTAGAATCAAAATAATGTGTTAAACGCTAACCACTAAATATCAAAATCCTCATTACGGAGCATATGAAATGTGGTTGCAAATAATTAAAATACTTTTACTCTTTTTAATATCCGGAAAATGTGAGCATGTGATGATATACACATTTCACTTTATGTGATTTAGGTATGTTACTTATGGTAGCACCACCAGTGACACTATAAGTGATAACGCTGCCCAATGCCACTAGTCTAGTGGTGGATTTCTAACAAAGTTTTGGATAACTTTACAAAAAACGTTTTGGAAAATCTCTTAGATTTTTTTCCAAGCACTAGAACCTGTTGGGAATGGATCGATAAAAAGAATCATGTATAGTTCAATATGATAAAATCACATCTGAAAATATGGAGTACAACTTTTATCGGAGTTGGGGTCCAGATCGACTGCCCCTAGCCACGCTTACCACAATGGGGGAAATGGGTGGATGTTGAATCGTGAAAAAATAAGTAAGTTATCTAAAGTAGTTACATTCTAGTTATCACAAGTCTGGACTTGGCTAATTAAAATCCAATTTGATTACTTTATACTACTACAATTTTAGGCCTAATGTAACATTAGAGATGTCACATATCTATAAAAGTGTTACTCCGTACATATTTCTCTAATGTAACACTTTTTAGACCTTGTGTAACACTTTCTAGAAGCATAAATGTTACATTAGTGACTATAAAGTGTTATAATAGGTCAAATTGTTAGGTCCCTGTTTTCTAATCTATAAAATGTATGTATGGAAGATAGATCTGGGAATGAAGCTTTCCATTGATGTGATGAAGAAGTTTACAGAATGATGAACGATTTAGCGTAAAACTTCTATCACGAGAATAGGCACTGCGGCACTAGGAATATCGAAAAGCTTAACCTAGCCTTTCCCTTAAGGCATATATATAGCCTGACGGGAAAGGTAGGTTTTACAATCATTTGGGCTCCTTTTCCTAGGAGGCCCATACCTAAAAAGGTATAAAACCTTTATTACAAACTTGCCTTAAAAGGCCTATTCATTATTCTAGCTAACTATAAACTAGCAAAGTAACATTGATCACAATTACAATAAAAATATCTCTAACAATCTCCCCCTTTGTGATCAGATGTTCTTGCTTCTTCTGTTCTTCACTTCTGAGCTTTAAAATAATGCTTTCTGAGATTTAGAGCGTGCTCGTAATTTCTGAGAGACCTTCTTCTGTCAAGTTGTTTCTCGATGGCTTTTAACACTTTGTCAATTCTGGTTGCCTCTGTTAGTTCATCGTCTGTGGCATCTGCATACTTCTGTTGTTTTTCTTCAAAATCTTTTCTGATAGGTTGCAGTTTTTCTTCAATGATCTTCAGCGTTCCATCACAGTACTTGTTGATTTCTTCTGCCACCAACAAACGCCTCTCACCTTTGTGGTTCAGGTAGATGATAGCTAACGGGCAATCAAAGATGTAATAGGCTGGATAGTTCTCAAGTTCTGGCCCGTAAAGCTTTGGTCTTGAGAGGTTTGTCTTTGGCAGATTTGTTTCTAGGGCCATCTGAAGATCATGGGAAGCAAAGAATTTGGCTTGTCTGATCATGAAGCGCTTGAGTGCCTTGAATCCCTCTTGTGTAGATTTGTCCCAGGTGACTGGAATTTCCTGGAAGGCTTGATACATATGATAGATGTCATCCATCTTTAACATATAAAGGTCATTTTCCTTGCAGGTAAATTCAGTTCCGTCGGAGCGTTGCAGGCGGTAAGCAGAGAGTGGGATGTCTTGATAATTTATTTCGGCTACATTTAGTATACTCCATACTGGGTCTTTTGCGGTTTGTAGTTCATGTTGCCATACTTCTCTCTGTTTCCCCATGTAATGATGACTAAGCAGAAACAGTTGTCCACCTTTGTTCTTTCCTCGCAGATGATTGAGTCCACAGATTTTCAATTCGTCCAATTCCTTGACTTCGTCATCTTTCCGCCATATACGCTTTCTGATTTCCTCTTGGAAAGGAGCATTGATGTTAATATTTTCCCAAGGTTTTTCACTCCTGGGCATTCGAGCCGCTGTTTGTCTGATGATGGATTCCAGCTCCTTGGGAGGTTCCTGATAGTTTTCTCCTTCCTTGAGTTCATCATCATTAAGCAGTATTACATCAGCAGCACATTTAGCTAGGAGCTCTCTGAGATAGGCTCTTCGCTGTATTTCATCCACATTCGTCCATAGCCGAGACCACTTGTTGTGAACAAGAATTTCTTCAAGTTCGTCATGCATTCGATCATCAGGTTGGCTAGAGGGAGTCTGCTGCTGCTGTGGCGCTCTGTCAATAGTAACTCCGGGATCACTAGGATTGCCCGTTGACATCAGATTAGAACTAGGTTCTTTCTGATGGCCTGAGTAGAAAGGTGTACTCGAAGTAGCAACCTCAGGACTTCCACTCCATCCTTGGTCTACATCTATGAAAGATGAGCCTAGGAGTGTTGTTTCTAGCTCGACCGGGCTAGATGTGGGTGAGTTGGCTGTTTGGCTTTTATGATGAGTGGATGATGGGGGCTGATTGTTCGAGGATTCGGGTTGGTTGGATTGCGTAGAGGGTTGGCTGGTTGACGCATCACGCTCAAGTGTCCTTTGTCTCTTGTTCTCCCCCTCATGAGGATCCGAATCATCGGGGTCCTCATGCGAACGTTTGTGACCGAGGAGACTATCACGGCATGAGCTGTCAGGCTTAAGGATCCGAAGAAGGTCTTTTTGTTTCTGGGTTAGGTTGCCTTCTTCGGTAGCTAGTAGTTGATCTAGCATAAGGGTTTCGAGTACCTCGAACGGTAAGGTTTTAGGGTCAGGAAAAGGTGTGGTCGAAGTAGGGGAGGACACTAGTTCTGTATCCTGGGTTCCCCTTGAAGCAGTAGGTGAGTGGGGTAGGGTTGTGGATGGTTCAGAGGTTTGTTGGGTAGGTATGATAGGAAGTGGTTGGGTTTCTTGGGTATGTGAGGATGTTGGTTGGGGTTGGATGATGTCATTTAGCAACGTCGGGGTGTTCCTGAATTCCTGTGCCCGAGCGGTTATTGCTTCGTGCACCCATGGTTTAATGGTGGAATCCAAGAAACGCTGCAAAATGACAGAAAGGTCGGTAGGGTCAGGGTGTCCGGTTACAGGGGTAGTAACCGTTGTCACAGCATCAGTAAAGATTACCGATGTGTGGCCTGCAGATAATGATGGAGATATCTGTTGAGCAGCAGGACTTCCGATCATCATCGACGTATCTCCGATCGTTGAGGACAAGTAGAGTGCACCTGTCGTGTGCGGTGGTGTGAGCAGTGTATGTGTCCTAGAAAATGTTGAAAATGTTGGGATGGTGGAAACTAGACTCAATGTGCTAGAAGAAGGGGTAGTGGTCTGGGGCGGAAGACCACAAAGTAAATCCTCAGCTGCTTCGTAGGGAGACAGCGAGGTGGGTATAATATCCCCAATATGTGAAACTACTACCTGTTGGGAGGCAGCAGAGTGGCTAGGTGAGGCTTGTGCATGCGCAGTTGGGCTGGATGCTGCGTCTTCTACTCGGAAACTGAAAATATCAGTTTCTGCACCTATGGGGTTAGCCCGGTTTATTGTGTCTAGGTCAGAGCAGCTGTCGTACAAAGCTAACTCTTCCGCCAGGTTGCTCGCGGTTTGCACTCTTTGCACAGGAGTAGATGATGAGGCAAGATCATGACGCACCTTGGAGCGAGTCTCACTGATGATATTTCCTTGAGTGTCCTTGATTTGGTGAGACTGCTCTTGTGTTGTAGCCCGAGAAAGCCTGATAACAAGTCGTCCTTTCTTAGCGCGGGCTTTCTCGACTTTCTTGCCCTTTGTATTGGCGTTGTCGTCGTCCTCATCATCATCATCGTTGTCGTCCTCAGCCTTGCTCCCAGAGCCCTCATCGTCAGCGTCTGGTGTTGTGGCTACGCTTGACGAATCACGGGTAGTCTCTTCAGCAAGGGTGTGGCCCTCAGCAGACATAGTCTGATCATCATGGGGCCGGCTTGCCACTGGTCTCTGTGGCTGGGTTGAACTCTCAGGACCCTCACTTACTCTCGGCTGACTCCCCGGGGTAGGCTCAGGGGGGTTTATCTGAGCTATAGGGAGTATGACATCATTCTCCTCACTGTAGCGTATGACATGTGGATCATTGCGACCAGCTAGCAGGAGGAGAGGGACAGGAATAGGTAATGGTACCAGTGTGCGTACCTCAGGCATTCTCTTCAAGTATTGTAGGGCTGGAGTGCTGACATTCTCAGATGATTTGCGTCTTTGAATAGTAGGAATTGTTCTGTAGAAGTGTCG